CGCCATCGCCCCCTGTGCCCGGGCCCCCCGGGGCCTCATCGCGGTGCTTCGTCTGGTGGGGTGCGGGGACGGGAGGGGCTGGGGCTCCCTCAGGAGGGTGACTCATGCTCCGTTTCCAGCACACACTGCGGGCCCTGCTGCCCAGGGCTTCCCTGCAGGGCCAGCGGACGGGGCGCCAGGGCCGGGGCGCTGGCTCGGGTCCTCCGGTCCCTCAGGGCCTCCAGGTCGCTTTCACGCTCAGTCGCTGTTTATTTAGGCCCCTCAGAGCTGTGTGCCGGGTTAACTCTTCGGGACAGCCCTCTCCCCAGCCCTTCCACCAGGGCCAGGCCCCGTCCTGGCCCGATGCTCCGTTTCCAGACTAGCCCCACTCACCCCCATAGGGCGTTGCCCGCCATCAAGTGGCTTCTGGGTCCCTCTTCATGTAGTTTTTACTGTGGTAACATATGTGTAACGGGAGAGTTACCGTTTCAGTTACTCCTTGGCATCAGTACAGTCACATGTGGAGGGACCGTCACCGCCATCCACCTGCAGAGCGTGCATCCCCCCAAGCTGACACTCAGTCCCCGCAGAACGCTGACTCCCCTCCCCCACCTGAGCCTCCTGTATCTGAGTCGGCCCCATCTGGGACCTCACAGGAGTCTGTCTGTCCTTCCGCGTCTGTCTTATTTCACTCAGTCCAGTGTCCTCCAGGTCCAGCCACGCTGTGTCCTGTGTCAGAACATCCTTCCATTTCAAGGCTGAGTAACACACCGCTGTAGACTTTTACCACATTCACCTGTCGATGGACAGCAGCTGCTCCCACCCTTCAGCGACTGTGAGTCACACTGTTGTGAACGTGGATGTGCAAGCATCTGTCTGTGGCCCTGCTTTCTGTTCCTTCAGACATACACCCAGAACTTGCGGGATCCTACGGTAACCCTATGCTTAATTTTCGGAGGAGCCGCCACACCGTTTCCATGGCGAATGCAGCACCTTGCGTCGCCCCAGCAGCGCACGAGAGCTCTGATTTCTCCACATCCTCCCAGCATTTGCTCTTTTTACTCTAACCACCCTAACAGGTGCAAGGTGGCATCTCATTGCGTATGTGTTTTTTAATGTACTTATTTTATTTTTGGGGGGGTGGGAGGGTCGTAATTAGGTTTTTGTTTATGTGTTTATTTAATGGAGTTACTGGGGATTGAACCCAGGACCTCGTGCAGCTAAGCACGCGCTCTGCCCCTGAGCTGTGCCGCCCCCAACACTCTGGTTTTGATTTGCATTGCCCTGTGACTAATGATGTTGAGCGTCTTTTCACGTCCTTGTTAACTACTTGTGTGTTAACTAGAAGTGTCTATTAAGTCCTTTGCCTGTTTTTCTAAATTGAAGTATAATCAACTTACAACGTGTTAATTCTAGGTGTACAGCACAACGATTCAATTATACATATGTACATACATTCCTTTTCACATTCTTTTTCATTATACGCTATTACAAGATGTTGACTATAGTTCACCATGCTACACAGTGGGACCTTGTTTATCTCTTGGCCCATCTTTGTTCATTTTCTTTTTTTAAGTTTTTGGCCATTTTTGAATTGAGTTATTGGGGTTTTTTGTTGTAGTTGCTGTCAAGTTTTAGGAGTTTCTATATATTCAGGACATTAACCCTTTAGCAGATATGGGATCTGCCAGTACAGCTGACACCTGAATATCGGTGTGAACTTCGTGGGCCGCTTACAGACGGGCTTTTTCAGCAGGTACGTACTGCCGGACCGCCCAGTCCGCAGGTGACTCTGCAGGTGTGGAACCCCGGGTATGGCCAGTTGATTGTAAAGCTCCTCTCAGACTCCTGAACGCTGGGAGGGGGGTGCACCCCCAACCCTCGCATGTTCAGGAGTCAGTTATGTCTTCTCTCATTCCACCAGTTGACTTTTCACTCTTTTGATAGTGTCCTTGGGTGACCAAAAGGTTTTAATTTTGATCAAGTCCAATTTACTTTCACCTTTGCTGACTGCACTGTTGGTGTTGCGTCCAAGAAATTGTTGCCAGATCACAATGTCATGAAGTTGTCCCTTTTTTTTCCCAGGAGTTTTATCGTTCTAGCTCTTATGTGTATGTCTTTGATCCATTTTGACTAATTTTTGTATGTGGCATTAGGTAAGAGTCTAATTTCATTCTTTCGCTTGCAGAGGTCCAGAATTCCCAGCAACGTCTGTTGAAAACACCGCCCTTCCGCCACTGAAGAGTCTTGGCTACCTTGTCAGTTATTCTGACTTTGCTCCTGTATTTTACCTTAATAGAGGTTTTCTTGTTTGTTTTTCACATCTGGTTAAACGCATCCTTTGCTTTTATGGCTTCTGGACTTCAGGCTTGGTTGGAAAGGTCACCCCTACTCCACAGTTACAAAGCGATCTGTCCAGAATTTCTAGCACTTTTATGATTTTGTTCTTCTACATTAAAACCTTTTACACATTTGGAGTTTATCCTGGTGCTGAGAGGTATGGCTACAACTTTCTTTCTTCTAGACAGACACAGTGTCCCAGCATAATTTATCAGCAGCCCCCGCCCCCCGGTCTGAGATGCCGTCTTCAGCCTGCACTAGGTGTCTGCCGGCATTCAGTTCTGCTGTCCGTGCGTCAAGACAGGGTCCGACTGCGCTGACAGTTTGCGATATGAATTCACACCTGCTACAGCTGAACCTGTTCTTATTTTTCCATTTCACCAGTTTGCTGACACGAAAAAGGGAAGACAAGCTTTCAGGGTTTTGTGTCGCCAATGACACGGGGCGGTGAAACGCCTGGGGAGGCCCCTCTGTGCTGGTGAGCCTTCCTGCCCAGGAGCACAGTGTCTTCCCCAATCGCCAACACCTCTTCGGGGTGTTTTAAAGCTTCTCTCAAATGGGTTTGTGTTATTTCCTGTTAAGTTTATTTCTGTCGTCAGATGTGCCATTTTCATTTGTTTGTTTTCTGGAATCTGTTGTTTGTATTTATAAAGGCCACTAATTTCCAAACAGTTGTCTGTACCCTCTTCCCAAACCCTCTGCTGTGGGTGGATTCCAGTCCACACTCCTGCGCTGACCGGGCACGTGACATGGTGCCCGCACCGCCCCCTCCCCAGTGTCCGCACGCCGCGCCCCTCTGGTTCTGCTGCGTGGGCTGACTCTTCCCAGGTGGTGCCGGTCACCTCCCGTTCTGCTCCACTCTGCCTGGTACCCAGTTCTTCTGGTTCCTTTTTCCGAGGTGCTTTGCTCTTCTTCACGACAGAGGTTTTCCTCAGACGTCTGGTGTCCCTGGCTGGTATTTAAAGTGGGGGCTAAGTGTTGATTAGCAATGCGGGTGGACTGGGGCTTGGGAGCCTGGGCAGCTTCCTGTTTCTACCGCCTCCAACCACGCAGCTGAAAGCCGACCCTCCCACTCGGCCCAACCCGGGGCCACACGCCAGAATGTGGCTGGCCCTCCTGCCCAATTCTGTCTTGTGGGTTCTCGCCCCACTCAGAGCCCCCTGTGGTCATTTCAGCAGGATTGTTAGGACACAGAAGTGGACAAGCTGGCCCAACCCCCCGTGTGAGGCTGGATGTCTGCAGACCCAGGACTTGGCCTACAGTAACCGCCCCTCGGTGAGCACGTGTTCCCACCATAAACACTGCACACGGGGGCGGCTCTTGTGGGGCTCCGACTGGGAAAGGCCAGGGACAAAGGGAATAGTGGTGCTGACTTGTGTCCCTGGAAGATGACACCTGACAGGGGCAGATTGGGACAAGCTGGAAGAAGGTTCCATGCTGAGCGCACACGGAGGGGGACAAAGAGGAAGGACATCTTGCAGGACAGTCCAAGGCAGGGAAGCCTGGTGCACCCCTTAAGGCCACAGCCAGCAGCTGATGTTCCCCAAGAGTGGGGAGCAGTGGAGGAAAGAGGTAGGGTGACACCAAGGGAGTGGCCAGGGTGTGCGGAACACTGCAGCAAATTTCTGCCCCCAAATCAGAAACCTGGGAGTCTGTGCCCCTCCCCCCTCCTCTAAAGCCCCTCTCCTCTGTGCTGCCTCCCACCCCACCCCAGCCCCCACCTACCCCTCATCCACAGCCACCCACCCACCTACCTCTCGGAATTGCAGACACGGCAGTGGCCCCTGCCCAAGAGCGGCCAGGCCCCTCCGCCCCTGCAGGTCCCCTGTCCAGAATGGAAGCCTCCATGAGGAGCCTCACCCTCAAGAGGTGACACACTTGTGTGCTCATGCCCCAGATCACCTGCCCCGGGATATCGGCCTAGTGGAAGCCAAAACACCGGAAGATGCCTCACCGGCATTCGGGCGGGGCACGCGGCTGGCGGGGCACACGGAGCCTGCTTGCTTTCTCCCACCACCTGTTACGTACACCTCTGACCCCGAGAACACACGCACCAACAGATCCAAGGGCACAGCTCCATGGGCCCCCGCCGAGCACTGGCCTGGTTCCGACCTGGATGCACAGGGAACCATACACAACTCCTGGGGGCCTGGCTTCCTCTGCTCATCAAGTGTCCCCCGGGCTTGAGCAGCTGTGTCCTGTCCACTCATGGCTGCACAGGAACCGAGCAGCTGCCCACCCACCCGGTTGGGGGTAGACAGAGGTGCCTCCAGACTGAGGCTGGCACAAAGCAGAGGCTCTGAGAACATTCTGGTCACGACTTTTGTTGACAAGTCCTGCTGATGCCTGCCCACCTGGTCAGTGGGATACTATCTAGGCTGTGTGTGGGGCTCCCTCCACTTGGTGCCACCCTCCTGCCCGGGGTCGGGGTGGCCAGCAGAAGCCGACTGCCCACAGTTGTGGGAGGGGTGCAGGTCCACCTAGCTGCCCATCTAGGGCTCTGGGGAAGAGAATACTGACATTCTGTACGGCCCCCAACTCAGCACCTGCTTCCCGGCAGGGGCCATTGGGCCCTCCCCAAGCTTATAAAGCTCCTGCTCCACCCACACCTCTAAAGCCAGTGCCCAGGGCTCCCAGAGAGGAGCCCAGGGGCACGGAGGCCACAGCTTCCTCCAGCTTACCCAGTCCTGAGACTGCAGCACCTGCTGACTGCTGCTCTGAGCACTGGGCTGGCCCCAGGCCACGGCTCGGCTCGGCGTGGCAGAGGGCTGCCCATCCTCTTGGGACAGCTGCGATTCTGGCTTCTTCCCCAGGAGGGCCTTAAATAAGTGCTTTCCGCTGTCCATCTCCGGCCGTTTGGGCTGCTGTCTGCACTGCAGGGGCTCCCAAGAAAGGTCCCACGGCTACCTGAGCCCCTCAGGCAGAGGGAGGCCATATCAGGGTCTGCTAGGCCCATCTGTCAGCCACTGGCCAGACAGGGGTGTGTGGGCCTCAGCCAGAGACACAGTGGGGTTGATCCCATTGGGTGTCCCGTGCCCCCTAGCTTCTGCTGCCATCTTTCGCATTACCGTCACCCCAGGCTGGAGCGGCTCCAGCACCCCCCTGCACTTGCCTCCCCCCAGGACACCCCTCCCGCGCCAGGGCCCCCACCGTGGCTCCAGCAACTCAAGCGGCCCTAAGTGCTCATTCTCAGGACCCTGCCGGCGGGCCCGCAGACGGCTTGTAATGACCGGGAGAGCAAAAAGGGCCCTCCAGCTCTCTCCTCGCGACCCCTGTGATCTCACCTCGACGCTGCCTGACCACACCCCAAAGCCCAGGCCGCGCGCGAGGAGGCCGCAGCAGACTGCAGCCCGTCCCTCTGCACGCCAGGGGGTCTGGGGACGAGGAGTCCGCTTGGGGGGTGGCAGGACAGGAGTTAGGAGGACGCCGGGAAGGGTCAAGAGGAGGGAACCACTAGGGTTGCGGCGGTCAGCTGGGGAGGGGCGGGGTACATGGAGGGTACAGGGGGAGGGGCGGGGGTACAGCAGGGACGGGGCGGGGGGAGGGGCGGGTACACGGGGGGCGGGGCGGGCCCGTTGTGGTGGGAGGTTCACAGGACAGGGGTGGGCCCACTGCGATCCTGCAAGGCCCGAGGGGCCGGGCCAGGCCCACGGAGTTCCGACTCCC